CAGTTCCAGACACACACTCGATCTGTCGCATTGGCCGTGACCATCCATGGATAAGTCGGATGTAATTGTATCTTAATGATTTTATCATTGGTCGGTCGAACTGCTTTCAACTGTAACATCTTTTTTCTGATTTTTCAGTTGAACCAAGTTAAAGCAATGGCTAAGAAAATGAGTTCTAAAAGTAGTTGAGATTGCATTCAACTATACAAAAAATCAGCCTTTATGTTTTGGGAGATCTAGATTTTCCATGCAGATTTGAGAAATGTTCGCGATGAACGTGCAATAACGACATGAAGTTACAAAACTCTGCCCTCATCAACAATCACAGATTTTTCCTTCCTTTGTTCTGAGTAACCAGCCAGGTATGAAGATTATACAAGCAAAGCATTGCGCTGTGTGAGCGGATTTCCGGCAATGCAAGAAAATAACTAAACCAGAATTCGAAGCTTATGTATATTTGACACGAATTCAAAGTGGTGGAGTCTGCTCGAATTGTTCTGCTCCAGTGTTGAGACGTAAAACGAATATCAGGTGGCTTATTGCTATTCGCTCAAGTTTGAAGCCGCTCTTCGTACTATTTTTTTTTCTTTCTAATTCCAATATATCCACGTGTCTAATAACTGTCAAATCGATAATCGATATAGCATGATTCGCTTTTTCTTTTTACCGTGGGGGATGCGAGGACACCATCGGAAAGGAAGTTTGGAAGCACTGGGGTTTGCCCAGCATCCAATGACGGGATCAATTGATGGCTTGGCGCCTTTTAGTTTGATAATTATCAGTCCTTAAGAACGGCGCGAACTAAAGGAGAGGCATTTGGTTTCTCTTCTTACCCATCTTTAATACTATATTTTTCCATATTTTATTTAATTATTCATTTAGTTTCGGTGATTGTTCACTGTAACATTAAAATAAATATAATATTCATTTAATAATTATCATTAATAAACTAAATCAAGAACTAAATGAATATATGAGATTAGGTATGCGGAGCTATATTGAGAGAAATTATGGAAATAATCTAAATCCGTCCAGATTTCAAATAAAATGATGTTTTTTTTTTCAATTGTACTATAGTTATTTATCCATGTTGTAACTAGTTTGCTTGAAACACATGTCTGTATATATGACGTAATGTAATGCATTTTGTTCTTTGATTAAATTGTGAGCGTGGATCATGTCTTCTGTTGAGGTAATCAGTGACAATAAATATGTAATATAACTTTGGACAATTCAAGCCCTGTATGGCCCAAAAAGAAAGTGCTGCTAGCTGCGATAGGGATTCCAATTAAAAGTTCCCACAAAAATTGCACACTTGAGAGAATAAGAATTTATTTTGGCGCCAAAAAAAAAACCGAAATTAGCAAAGAAAATAAGAGATTACTTGTTCTAAAAAATTAAGAATTTACTTGTAGACTGTGTTTGTTGCGGGCTTTGTTTGAAATGGAAAGAAAACAAGGAGAAAGAGAACTGTGAGAAGGGGGGGATTTAAAGAAACACAAATTTTGACCCTTATTTGTTCTTAATTTCCCTTTAAAGAAGGGGAAAACTAGTGAAAAAGCTAGATGTTAGGGAAGAAAATTGTCTTTCTTTTCTACCTTTCCTCTAGTTTTATTTCCTTTCTATTTTCCTCCCATCCTCTGAAATATTAAACATGATATATTGAGGATGAATTTACTATACAAGCACGCGTTCTTTTTTCCTTCTTTGTGGATCCTCCTCTTGACTGTATCCTATTCCTATGTGAGAGAGATGGAGGACGATAATGGAGCTAATGTTAACAGACATGCATATGTCATTGAAACAATACAAAGAAAAAGTGTTTATGTTTATAAAGTGTTCGTTCATTTGTAATTATTTTTTTACGAAACATAATGTTCATGATCGTGCAATAGAAACAAATACTCTCTCCATTGCAAAATATTATTTAAAGTTATTGCACATAGAGTAAGAAATATAATTAATATGTAAGAATATGATATATTTTACCGCATTTGTATTCCATTTTTATGGAGTATATCTCATTTATGTGCTGACTACTGACAATATTTTAATATCTTGAAGGATGACACATAAAAGTTGGCAAAAATAAAGGAACAATCACATTTTGAGCCCTCGAAATGAACATATTTGCAAAAAAGAAGCCCAAATAATTGTGATATGTCAGCTGCAGGCTTAAGGGCTTCATGTGTAATCATATTCCTCGCTGAAATGACCTAGTTACCCTCACATTTACATTGCTATTTGACTATGCACTTTTCCGCTCTCTTCTTCTTCATTACTCATCCTTCTGTCTCTTCACCTTCTAACTGTGGTTTTTTAATTGGGACTAGTCATTCTATCCAAACCTCTTCATCAATCTCTTCTCGGACTTTTATTCAAAAAAAAAAAAACATCAATTATATTAACCTAGAATGAAAGGGTTGAAAGCGTGGTGACGCCGAGGACTCTGAGAACACTAGCAGTGATCACTTTCTTCAAAGAATGAGTGAATATGCCAACCATGAGTATAGTCGCCACAAGCCGAAGTAGTGAGGTTCTAAGGGTGGCGTTGTCTGACATGCTTAACAGGCAGAGCAAAAGATGGATTGGAAAGGAGCATCTGATCTATAGCCTTTCATTTTACGTTAATATAATTGACGTTTTAACAACAAACAAAAAATGAAAGCCCAATAAGAGATTCACGGAGAGGTTTGGCTAAAATGATAGGACCCTTATTAAAAAGATTTAAAAAAATTCACAGTCAGATGAAGAAGAGAAAGAAGGATGAACGAGGAAGAAGAGAGTGAAAAAAATGTGAAGTTAAATAGTCATCTAAATGTGAAAGGTAATTAAGTTATTTTAATAAAAAATATAATTGCAAATAAGCCCCTTTGACTAACAGAGACACATCAAAATTATTTGAGCCTTGTATGCAAATATTGTTATTTTGAAGCCTTGAATGTGATTGTCCCAAAAATAAATGAAATAGAAAATTATCATTAAATAGTGTGTTGAAAATTAGAAAATAAACAATACAAAATTTAGCAATTTTAAAACCAACCACCTTAGATTTTTTTGCTTTTAAAACATTAGATCCCACCAGCCCAAAACACAAGTCGAAAGCAAACAGATTGAGTTTATCACCTTGACTTTTCTTAAAAAAAAAAGAAAAAAGGAAAATCATCATAAAATTTGATAGAAATATTTAAAAGCCTGGTGAAATCATTAAATATCTATCAAGTTCCAAAGGATTTGAGGATAAATATTTTTTTAATTGATTAAAATACCTTTTTTAAAAAATAAAGGTCCTCATACAAACTCTCCAAAGCAACCTTCTTCTTACTGTTCACGCACTTCCTCCCCTATATTCACTTTCCGTCTCTATTATATTTTTATAAAGCGGGCTTGAATTTTTGTTGAATATAATTAATTATAAAAAATTAATTGATATAATTAATTTTAATTATAATTAATTATATTATAATGTAATCAATATTATTTTTTAAAAATAAATTTTAACTGAATTAAATATGTTTGGATAGTTTAGTTAAAATAAATTTTAGAGGGATGAATTACAATAAAGGACATTGTTTTTAAACTATATTATATTGTAATATTAACAATTTAATCTATATAAAAATAAATCATCTCAGATTTTAAATAATTTTAATAAAAGAAAAATATGTAATTATAATTATTCAGTTTTAGAATGATTAATTATCTCGAAAATGTTTGGTAAACAAACTCTGGGTGTGTGTGTGTGAATAAACTATACATAGATAAAGAGAACTGATGGATTAACTTTTGGAAGAGTTTTTTTTTTCATTCTAAATTATGACTTTTTGTTCTCTATTTTCACTTAAATCTGAAAAAAACTAAGAGAAGTCATGAAGAGAAGAGAAGTGATTGACAAGAACAAATGTGTTGCACTCGAGCGTCTTATTGGCAGATTAAAAAATTCTGACAGATTAAAAAATGTACTGCACTTTAATACATATAATCGATATTTGAAAACGATTCATCGCAGCTCAAGCCAAAATGTGGCTTGAATTGAGATAATTAATTATACAAAAATGGGGTGTTTGGGTGTTTCTTACAATCAAGCTTATCGAAAGAGGCTCATTTTCATCCATCATCGGAAAACAAAGCAAGTGCACTTATTGTAAAAATGGTATCCTTTATTGTATTTTTACATAATTTTAATTTTATAAAGGTGATCATTTTTTTTTGAAAAATTATCGTAAAAGCCTAGATGATCACATTTATAAAATTAAAATAAATTAAAATATAATTTTAACCTTTTAACTTTATATAAAATTTTATTTTAATTTTAAAATTTTATAAAATATTTTTCATTCATTTAATCTAAAGTCATATTAATTTTATTGTAAAAATTTCAACATTAAATTTTTAAATATTAATAAAATATTCTTAAATATTAACATATTAAATCTAATTTTTTAAAATAATAATAATATTTGATATAAATAATAATAATTTATAATAATGGTATTATGATTAAAAGAATTAAAAGATTAAAAATATATTTTAACCTTTAAATTATATACATGTGCGTGTGTCAGATAAAATAAGTATTATTAAAATCATAAAGTTATATTTGTGTATTATTTTTACGTTGCACATATATCTCAGGGAAAAATTACATTTATGTCATTTCAATAAAAGTTAAATAAATTGTATCAAAAAATAAAACTTAAACAATTTTAATTCAAAAATTAATTTAATCGACTATCATGTTAATTAAGTACATCCACATTAATAATATTATCGATAGTATGGTTTTTTTTTTTTGACCAACTGATATAGATGGTATTTAAGTTTCAGGTAAAATTAATTTTTATGATTGCAGATTGCAAATCTAATTAAAATAATGAAGTTTTTAATAAAAAAAAAAAAAAGGAAGTTAGGAGCGACGTTACGCAATCGTTTACATCACTTTAATTTTATCGATTATTTTAGTCCCAAACAAACGCTGGGCCCCGAATAAGAAAATTGATTTATTGGTCGATCACTTGCGAGTTTATAGTTCAGCGCAACACAATTGCTCAACTCCCGGCGAACATCTACACTTCCAGCGTTCAAAGCGGGTATCATTTGGCTTCACCCGAGGCGGGGAAATGGCCTCAAGTCTCTTCCCTCTGCTCACTTTGTATTTGGCCTTCTCCGTCTCTTATTTACGGGTATTTCTATTTTCACTCCCTTATTTCGAATTTTTACGATATCATTATTTGGTATTTTGAATGAATTTCCAATTTTCCATGGATCTGATTTCTCCTCTTATTGTGTTTGTGTAATTGACGTAAATAAAATACCCGTGCCTGGGCCTTTCTTTAATTTTCATTTTTTTTTTAATTCAGATTCTTTGGTTCATGCTACAACTTTAACTGATAGGCATCTAAAAGGCTGTTCTTCCATCTAATGTGAAACGCTGATATGTTTAATTGTCATATTTTTGGAAGACTTAACGAGACAGAGCCATACTCTGGGATGTTAAATTTGACCATGGTAGTGCTATCTGCTTTGCCGTGGTCGTCGATTTTCGTACTCTCTTTTGTTATTGTTATGAGTGCCTTTAACTAATTTTAGGTGTAAATTATTATCCGGTAGATTAGAAACTATGAAAATCACTTAATGAACTAAATAAATCATATGTCGTGAGCAGATCATTGAGGCAGAAGCAGAAACATTTTCTAGTTTCAAGCTCAATTCTCATATTCTTCAGGTAATTCCATTCCATGCAAGCAAATCTCCTTTGTTGCTCAACGCCTGAGGTAAATTGTTCCTAACCACCGAATAGCAATCAGAAAAATTCCTTACTGGATTAGATTCCTGATACGATAATGGTGTTTTCGTCTGAGATAGTATTGGCTTTGTTTTTTAGGGTGAGTATTTGATATTTGGTTCAAGTTGTGTGTTAAACTTTAGACATTGCCATGCAGGAGCCAATCACTAAGCAGATTAATGAAAATCCAAGGGCAGGATGGGAGGCTGCCATGAATCCTCGCTTCTCCAATTATACTGTTAGCATTCGACTTGCCCTGACCTGTTCTAATTTTTCTTCAACGTTTAATATACCTTTTTTTTATTCTATAATATGCTTCAAGTTTCCAATATCTTATCTTCATTTCAAAGGTTGGACAATTTAAGCACCTTCTTGGAGTCAAACCATCACCTAAAAATGATCTGAGTAGTACTCCTGTTGTTACCCATTCAAAATCCTTAAAATTGCCGAATGAGTTTGACGCAAGAACAGCTTGGTCTCAGTGTAGCACTGTTGTGAGAATTCTAGGTTGTCTACTTGTTCCTTTTCCTTTTTTTATTTTTATTTTATTTATAGGTAACTGATTAATTTGGAACAAAGTACTCACCCATCTCTTTCCTCGATAAATGCATGGAATGGTGAATAATTTCCGTACTAAAGATCAGGTAATTCTGTTCATCTTTTACAGCATCGACTTTTTATAAACTGAAAGTTAACAAAATTCTTAGCTGGCTTTTTGCTGATTGTTCAGGGTCACTGTGGTTCTTGTTGGGCATTTGGTGCCGTTGAATCATTGTCAGATCGTTTTTTGCATTCACTTTGGCATGGTGACTGACATTTGTTTTACTTTATCTTGGCTACTGTTTGTTGGGTGTTTATCTTCTCATATTTGTAGTCTACTCTCCCTCCCACCAGAGTTTAAAGTCTATATGCTTTAATTGCAGAACATATCTCTCTCTATTAATGATCTTCTTGCTTGCTGTGGATTTTTGTGTGGGTCTGGCTGTAATGGGGGGTATCCTCTCTTTGCATGGCGATACTTAGTCCATCATGGTGTTGTCACTGAAGAGGTAAGGAGTTTCCTATTTACCCTCATAATTTCCTCTTGGTAAAAAATTCATATAAAGTGGTTAGAAATGAAAATTCGAGTCCTCAGTATTCTCTGCTAAAATCTTATTGGAGAATTTTCTGTTTAATCTAGCCCTCATATTCTTGCCTTTGCACTCTCTTATTGCGAACGATGTTTTAATGTATCAGTGTGACCCATACTTTGACGATATTGGTTGTTCTCATCCTGGTTGCGAGCCTGCATATCCTACTCCCAAGTGTGTCAGGAAGTGTGGAATCGGAACCAGCTTTGGAGAAAGTCGAAGCATTATAGTGTCAATGCATACAGGATCAATTCAGATCCCTATGATATTATGGCAGAAGTCTATAAGAATGGGCCGGTTGAGGTTTCGTTCACTGTTTTATGAGGTAATTGACAGCTGTTAGTTACTCCTATGTTGTTATGAATTGTGATTGAATTTCTCCAACTTCAATGTAATAATGTAAAAAATTATTTCCTACTTACTTTTTGCATACATAAAAGCACTTGGTTGTTGGTAGTGAGTTTTTACCTTTTAGTTGTTTTTTATTGTTTATCATCATATCTACAAATTATCAATTTAGGCAAGTTGGTCGTCGCAAGATACTGAAATGAGTGCTTGCAATTTTAGGATATATATGAATTTATAGAAACGGTAACTATTTAGCTATGTAAATTAAAGCAAAGCTTACAGTGTAAGAAAGAATTGTGCTCTGCTTCAGATGCCCCTTATGACCCGAAGCAAAATGCAGACTTCAATTTCAGGACATCAAACAAATAGATTATATTTTAATCTTGTCCTGTGGTTGGAGTAGTCACAAGCAGATCTGTTAGCGTTGGGATAATCATCACTCGTTTGAACTTTTATAGGATTTTGCTCACTACAAAATCAGGATTTACAAACACATCACTGGGGACGCACTAGGAGGTCATGCTGTAAAGCTAATTGGGTGGGGAACAACGATGATGGAAGGACTACTGGGTACGCAAATCCGTTAATGATTATAGACCTTGAAGCCTCGTATAGTGATAGAATTTCATGTTTGTTGATCTTCTTTTTCTTAACCTTTCAGCTCCTCGCAAATCAGTGGAATAGAAGTTGGGGAGATGTATGCTTCTTCAATCATTCTTTCCTGAATTGAACTAACTGTATCTATGTGTATGCCTTTTCTAATCACCCATTTTGATCCACGTGCAGGACGGCTACTTTAAGATGAGAAGAGGGACAAATGAATGTGGCATTGAAAAAGATGTTGTTGCTGGCATGCCTTCCCGAAAAACCTCGTCAGGGAGGTTGCTGACGGCGATGCTTCGTTCTCAATGTAAATATACAACCAAACTGGATTCCGTCGTGTATTAAACGCCCTGCCCTGAATGTTGTGCCATTATTGTAAGAATTTGAACGATATTTACCAAAATTTAAATTATGATATTGAAAGGCCCTTGAGGGTGCTGACTGCTACTGGCTGCTGTCACGATTACTAGGAATCAGGAAAATCGTTAGTGACTGGCATTCTAGCTCAAGAAAAAATTCAAGAAAATCGCAGCAATTAGTGTATAGAAGAGTAAATGATGACCTGCTAAATCCGCCGCCGAGTGATGATTAGTTTTATCACTGGCAAGAGATTTTGGGGTTGTTTGAAAAACCTTTGAGAACAATTTTTGTTTTTTCAAAACAAGAGAACAAAAAGATTCTATTGATAGAGTAACTTTTAAATGAAAATAACTTTTAAGTGTTTTGAGATGAGCAAGAGAAAATAAAAAAAAAATTTTTTATTAATTTTTTATTTCAAAATATGTTTTACACACATCATTTTTTAATAAGGCCGAGCCTGGAGCACCGAGCTTAGAGGTCCTGTTTAATGAGGATTTAAATTTTGAAAATAATTTTTTTAAAAGTAATCAGATTTGAGTACTTAACCCTGATAAGCCTCATAAAAAAAGGTTTGGTGGCCTTTCAAATCTTGTTATATTATTTTTTTTTTATGAAATACATATTTAAAAACTAATGACCTGCTCACTTGAAGACTGACCCTACATACATTATATATTATTAATTTTAATTTATTTTAAAATTATTATATTAATATAATTTGAATAAATATTAGTGTATAGTATAAAATTTT